AAGTAGAGGCGGAGTAGTAGTAGTAGTAGTAGTAGTAGTCGTGGTGGTGGTAGTAGTAGTAGTGGTGGTGGTGGTGGTGGTGGTGGTGGTGGTGGTGGTCGCAGTGGCAGTGGTAGTATTAGCGGTAGTAGCCGCAGCAGCAGCAGCAGCAAGAGAAGTACTGTAGCAGAAGCAAAGGAAGCAGCAGCAGCCGAAAGCAGTGGTAGTGGTGGTAATAGTAGCAGCGTAAGCAATGGCGGCAAGAGATGCAGGAGCAGCAGTGATGCCGCAACTGCAGGGAGAGGAGGAGGAGCAGCCACAATGCAGAATCGTAAAAATGCCGTTAACTGCCTCAGCATCCGCTCTGAGTGAGATGGCATCATGGAGGTTCGGATCGAAGGCCTCCAGAGAGGTGGCTGCATGCGCCCTCTACATTGCTATGGATCCATTGCAAGCTCCTGTACAGTATAGACTCCCCCACAAAGCACTAGCAGCAATCTTGTTCTGCGAAGCCGCAGCAGAACCTGGAAAAAATAGGAAACCTTCAGATGGAAATTCTGAGTTGGAGCTCAGGAGTGACAGGGCTCCAATAGACCCCCTTTCCCTACATTATATAATCCCTATAGTCCTTGAAGGTTATATTGGGGGTAATATAGGGAATAATGGAAAATAAAATGGAAACTACTATAGTATATTGACACCCTGAAGAAGCAACGAACAACAAGCTGTGAAGCTGCCTGACCAACCGCGTTGGGCAGTGGGCGGACTCCAAACTCCGATTCCAGCACAGCCTGGGTCTCTTGTTAAGTAGATAGAATATGGGGGTTCTATTGGGATGTAAATGGAAACTATTTAGGGTTTAGGGTTACAGCCTGGGTCCCTTATAGTGCCCCTTAAGTATTGGGATAATGGAAAAGAAAGTGGAAACTACTATTTAGGGTTTAGGGCTTAGGGTTGGATGCATAGCCCCCCCATAAGTAGATAGAACATGGCTTTCGGGTATATTATACTAAGATCCCCATATACCCCATATTCTATCTACTTCTAGGAGGACTATAGCCCTAAACTTACAAGATTTTTTAGTGGGTTGATTCACAGGGTGACAGCAAGCCCACCTCGACCTCATCAGCTTAGGAAAAGGAACCCTAGGTGATGGAATAAGGTCCGCAAGCCTTCAAAAAAAAATATATATACTAGAAAATACTATGTTATACTGTAATACACTCTATTATGTTACATCTAGTCAGATCTTGCAACTCACGCTTTAGGGTAGGCATATCTTGAAACATGAGTTCCCATGGTACCCGTGGAGCCCTCTGGGCTCAAACCTATAGGGCTTAAGCGTCGCCCTACCTATCCAGGGACTTTAGGAGGGACCCCTAATACGGACCCATAGTCCCATTACCATGAATAACCTTTATATAGTCATTATATAACCCCTATATCCCTATATTCCTGGGTAGTCCCCGAAACATCAGCATAACAGCTCAAGATGAGACGCCACTAAGCGATTTCGAAGCGGACGCAGAAGTTTCTGACCTTGTCCTGGCCATGCAGCAGTAGTAAAGGGTTTAGGGTTTAGGCTTTAGGGCTTTAACCTCCCAACTGGAGATGGCTTGTGGCCATAGTGTGCTACAACTCTGAAACCCGAACTCTCTAACCCCGAAACCCCTGCCGTCTCCATTTAGTTTGCCATGTCCTTTTCCAGTTGATTGGCCGTTATTGGGGTACCATCCCTGCCCTTGACATATCCCAGTTAAGCCTATATAGTAGTTACCGTTTCATTTTCCATTTGCTTGTCCATTTGGTTCTCCATTATGTCCCTAAATCCTATGCCCAACTGTCCATCGGAGTTGGCAGCCATCTGCGCTCTTGCGAAGTCGTCGAGGACGGCGAGGAGGGGCTTTGCAGCTTTGGCCAAGGCCCTCTGACCAAGAGACTTCTCTTGCTCTTCCACGCGGGTCTTGAAATTCCCTCAGTCAGGCACTTGGGCATTCCCCAGAGCATGCCTTGCGTGATCCCACCTGATAACCCTAAACCCTAAACGCTTAACCGCCAAGGCGCGGAATTCTGCTGTTTGCTGCGCAAGCTGCTGTTCCTTAGCAGACACCATCACAGGAGCCCCCTGATCCCTTGAAGATCTATCTGACAAAGGGAAGTTTCTCTAAACAGGTTACCTTTTTTAAACCCGGTGCACATACTGCGGCATAATGCCATTCTATAAGGATTCCTTTGAGAAACTCACATCCTACATCCCCACGTCAGCCCAGTCTCCATTTCAATCTTGATTTGGCTTTTCTATTTGAGTATCCTTTATCCTATATCCCGGTATACGCTGTACATAGTCTCCATACGTACAGTTGTTGTTTGTTGTCCGGGCGACTGGTCAGCAGAAATTTGGTGAACGTGCTATCGCTTTCCAAGTTTCGCAGTACATGTTGATGCTATCGTTTTTGGTGAGCATGTTATCGCTCACCAAACAAAACTCTCCGGCACAAGTCTAATGTCCATTCTTCATATGTCTCTGTGACCGATACAAAGCCCGCGCGACACGTGTCCTTCTATAAAACCCTATATATACCCTGTTATGATGTAGTCATTTCCATGTCCGTTTCCCTTTTCCCTTATAACACCGCGATATTCGCATATTCCCCATGTGAAGCCCCATATAATCCCTATAGTCCCTGTAGTTTCCATTGTCCATTCCATTGTAACACCAATATTTTCCATGTTCCTTTTATAACCCCTATACTTTCCATTTTCTTTTCCATTACCACCCCGATGTATTCCCATAATCCTTACTAATCCTCAACCCTACACAGTAGATTCCATGTTCTATTCCATTATCCCGATGTAGTCCATCTGTATTATCTTCCCATATTCCCTA